GGCCCAGCTGCTCCACGGCACGTGGGATCTTCCCGGACCGGGGCACGAACCCGTGTCCCCTGCATCGGCAGGCGGACTCTCAACCACTGCGCCACCAGGGAAGCCCAAGAGGAAGTTCTTTGGGTGATAGAAATGGACTGTATCTTGGCTGTGGTGGTGGTTACACAGCTGTATTCATTTGTCCAGGTGAACCCAACTGTGTACCTTAAAAGGGTGAATTTTAGTGTATGTAAATTAAACCTCAATAGATCTGACTTAGAACATAGTAAAGTCAGATTGAATGGGGGATAAAAGGCCACCTGGATATTAAGTGTGAGCGTACAGTGGAATGGAGCTTCCCAAAGAGAGAATCGGGGCATGGTTTACCAGGGAAGGTGGAGTTGATCAGTTTTCTTGGGAGATCTTATGCTTTAGAGCTATGGGTTCAGCTGCTGTGACAGAGATCTAAAGTAATATTGACAAAGAAGAAAAGAAGTTTATTTCTTCTCACCTCAAAGTCCAGGGTAGTATGCGGGTTCCATTCCACAAAGTTACAGAGGCCCAGGCTCCTTCCATTTCCCTCCTTTGTCTACCTGCTCGTCCTCCTGATCTGAATGGGTCACCCCCACGTCCACGTGGAGCCGGCACGAAGTGGAGGGGACGCCTTTTCCCTGTAAGGATATGGCACCAGCAGGGTGCAGAGAGAAATAAACACAGAAAGGTTAGAGAGAAGACCGAGTTTTGCAGATGAAAACGAGGACACAGGAGAAGGAAAGAACTTGCAGGACAAAAGAGAGAAGAAGTGATGTAGGGATTCCAGTGAGAGGGAGTAACTTGAGACTGCTGGAAATGTCATTGGCAAATTTCTTGTCTACCCCATTACTTTTCTGTTGTTACTGTCGTTTGCTAAGCCAGGAAAATCAAGTTTATTAACTAGTAGTCTTATTTACCGTAACACTGAGCAGTGAAATGGCCTGTAGAAGAGAGGTCTCTACACCCAGGAGAGGACAACGCAGCAAGGAGCAAAGCGCTGAACGCGTGAAGGCTTTTGGATGTCCTTGCGCAGTGGGCAGCGACTTGGGCGGCAGTGGATGCGGCACCCAGATGATGCAGGACATGGTATAGCCCCTCGCTGGCGTCTGTGGAGACGTGGCTGTCAGCAGCAGGGCCCACAGGGCCCTTCGCTTCAAGGCTGAGTGTGGGTCATCAGGGAGATCCCACTCAGGCTAGGGGTCAGGTGGCAGGAGCTGAGCAGCTAGCAGGAGGGCATGAAGGTGTCGGGCTGACAGCAGGGCGGGGGGCATGGGGCGCAGCAGGCGGGCTGGAGGAGGCGGATCACGTGTGGGCAGGTGCTGGGCAGGCAGACCGAGCACCGGCAGCCCTTGTTGGAGGCATAGGTGGTGGTGGCCAGGCCACTGCGGACGCTGCAGCATTACCAAGGGGAGATCCGGCTGCAGGACGTGGTCAGGAGGTAGGTTTCGTTTGGCTGAGAAGTCTCCTGCTGTCTTAGTGTCTGTCCTCTCCTGAGCCAGCGCTTATACACTCACTCCCCTAGGTATCAGCTCATTAGCCTAGATCATGTTCTTCCATCTCAGTTTATGATAATCTCCATAAAATCATCTCATTACCTCAGTCTTTATTACCCTGCGATGTGTGTCTTACCTCATTGCTTTGTTGCCAAATGAGGACTCTTGACAATAGCTGTTTGTCAGTACAGGGAGAGCTTTATCTCACCATTAAAAAAATTTTATTACAGAAATTTTTAAAAAGAAAAAGAAAGGGAATAGTTTAATGAATCTCATGTGCCTCTCACCCACCCAGCTTCAACAGTTATCAGCACTCTGCCATTCTTGCTTTAGGTATCCACCCTCATACTTCTTTTTTCCTAGAGTATTTTTAAAGCAGTTCCCCAGTATTTTATCATTTCATCTATAAAATTTTTGTGTATAATATCCAGTGGATAAAGCCTTAAAAAAGAATAGCCACTGCACCATATGACACTCAATAAAGTTAGAAATATTTCTTTATTATCATCCAACACCCCATCTGTATTCCGTTTCCCCCAGGTGTCTTAAAAATGTCATTTTGCAGTTGGTCTGAATCAGGATCTAAACATAGTCCACACACTGCTTTGGGGTGATGTGTCTCTGAAGTTTCTTGGATCCTCACACTGTTTCCTCTCCATTTGTTTGTTTCTTTAATGCAGTGTATTTGTTGAAGGAAGTAGACCATTTGTCCTGCAGAATTTCCCATATTCTAGATTTGGCCAGTTGTAACCTTGCAGTGATACGTGACATGATTCTCTGTACCCTCTGTATCCTGTACCCTTGTGTAGTGATATCTAGAGGCTTAATTCCATCCAGGTTTGATTTTCTTTGTGGCAAGGATACACCTTAGCTGGTGCTACCGTATCACGTCAGAAGGCATAGGAGTCCGGTTGTCCCACTTCTAGTTATAATAATATTGACTAATAGGTTCCATTCGGTCCACCCCATGCTTCCATTATAGAGTTCCCCCTCCACTTTTCATGGTTTAAGCAGCTGGTGACTCAGCCCCATTCTGTAGGCTTTTCTTGGGAGACCTCTTTTTTAGGAATGGCCAGCTTAGGTAGCTGGCGGTCATGCCTGGTGGTTAGAGTTGGCCTTGCCTGGGTTCCTGGAAGCTGATCATCTGTTGAGGCTGACACCTCAGGGTATAGAGTTACAAAATCCTTTTGGAATTTAAAATTTTACTCTTCTGTTTTTGAAAGTAGGTAAACTTCCAATTCTAATGACTTGATCCTTCCCTCACTGGATTCTTGAGTTTATGTACCTTTACTAAGATTGTCTTGTTTTTGGTTTGAGAACTGAGATTATTATAAAGCTGGCATTTCAAAATTTCATAGTAGGTTCTGGTATTTAATGCATAAAATAATGCATGCTTTCATAGCATAAATACCTAGGCTCCAGTTCTAGTTTTACAAAATACTATTTGTTTGATATTAGGATACTGGTTTGGCTGCTCCAAAAGAGGCCAAAATAATAGTGGCTAAAATAAGACAGAAGGTTCATTTCTCTCTTTTGGAAAATTATGAGCCAGTAGGCAGCTCAGACAGTGGGGATCTTGTCCCCCAGGGTCATTCAGGGACTCAAGCTCCTATCCAACTATCCAGCCCAGGTGTCACCCTCGTCTGCATAGTTGAGAAGCTGGCTCACCACCACTCCACATTCCAGGCAGTGGCAAAGAGGAGGACTTGGTAGGCAAGCAGCTCCTTTTATGGGAAAGGCAAGCCTCTTACAGCCCATTGGCCAGAACTAGTCACATGGCCATTATCTTGCCACAACTTATGCTGGGAAATGCAGTCTCTAGCTGGGCAGCCATGTGCCCTGTAAAACCCAGGAGTTCTGCCACTAAAAGGGAGAAGGAAAGGAGAGATATTAAAGGTCAGGTAGTATTTTTTATTGAGTCCTTCCAAGCTTCAGCTTCATCTCATCTGTAATGCGGGGCTGAAAACACCCCCCTGTTGTGGCTGTTAGAATCACGTGCTCTTAGAATCATGTGCATGCACGGGTAAGTGTCGTGGAGCATCGAGTCCAGCCCCCTTCACATTCCAGGCCTTCGGTAAATGGTTCCATGCACTGGGGCCAGAGGGGGCAGCGCAGCATCACAGAGCAGAAAGAGCATAGGCTTTAAACTCATTGTAGATCTGGCTTTGAATCTTTGTTATTGTTAGCTGTGTGAGTGAAGACACATTTACCTAACCTCTCTGACCCTCTGTAATATGAGGGTGTTTACGAATTTAACGAAAAAGTACATAAAAATATCTAGTGCAGTGCCTGGTGTATAGAAGATATATGGTTAAGTAGTAGCTAATTGCTAAGTGATCTGTGTGTAATTTCTTAGGTAAGCAAGCGTTCCTGATGGGGAAAAATTATTATGTAAAGTCAATTTAAAGAGGACTTCTAAGCAGTTTCAACTAGTGACATACAGTCACCATTCTGTGTGTGTTCAGTTTGAATACTTGAGGCTTAAACCTAAGCCAGTGTTTTCTAAAGAAATCTCTGGAAGATACAGGCATTAGAATCAAAGTAGAATGCAGTCAAAATGCAGGTCTGATCAGAATCTCTGGAAGTGAAGGTGCATCTCCACATTTCTATAAATACCTCCACAGTGGTCTTTATCATACTGAAGTCTAACATCCCAGACCTGGTCCGCAGCATGTATTTAAAGTGTTAGAATACTTATACAGTGCTTCGAGGGAAGAAAGAATAATTTATCTTATCGAATTTCAGATAAATAAGATGAGAGCCCTGGGCTTTTGAAATGAACTCAGGGATGAGGTGTTTTTTCTTTCCCCTCGAAGGTTGCAACTTAAAAAATAATAAATGTTTGCTCTAAATCCTTTTTAGTTATTGCGAAACCAGAGATTTCCTGCATCCTATCATCATGCAGTGGAAACTGTTGTGAATATGCTGATGCCACACATCACTCAGAAGTTTCGAGATAACCCGGAGGCATCTAAGAATGCGAATCATAGCCTGGCTGTGTTCATCAAGGTGGGGGCCTCCGGGGAAGAGGGTGTCTGCCAAGTGCCTAATGTGCCTTTTCTAGCAGAGTGACTCGTACATATAGATGCTTAGTGAACGTTGATGGCAGGTTTTTATGCCAAAGGATAAACTTAACTCACAATAAATGCAGATTAGAAGCCAACTTTCAAAAAAAGCCTAAATACTTAACCTTTGTGGGTTGTTTCCTCCACAGAGATGTTTCACCTTCATGGATAGGGGCTTTGTCTTTAAGCAGATCAACAACTACATCAGCTGCTTTGCTCCTGGAGATCCTAAGGTAGCCTGTGTGCGTGCGCGCACCTGTGTGTGTGTGTGTGTGTGTGTGTGTGCGCGCGCGCGTGTGTGTGTGTGTGTGTGTGTGTGTGTGTGTGTGTGTGTGTGTGTTAAACACTGTTCTTTTTGTCTCTCTGAGTGACATCTGGATACCCACCTGTTTCTCTTGGTTCACATCAGAATTTTCTTTCAGTCCCAGAGGCACTATTCATTCTCCTCTCTTGCAGATACTAACTAGTACTAACTAGTACTTGTATTAATGTGTGAGATATTAGGGACACAGTAATTCCACATGCAACATAAATACCTGTTGATTTTTCTCATAAATACCTTAAATGACTTCTCAGCTGCAAAACTAAAAGTATATGTGTTGCAAATCATAGTTTATTTAACAAGGTAACAGAAATAACCATGTAGCCTTTCTCTGCTAGAATTATCTGTCTCTTCCCTTGCGTGTCTATTTTAAAGCTCTGCCTTACTCATTTTTTTATTGCACTGAACCTGTGTCTATAATTATAAGCTGCCTGAAATCCTTTATTGAAGTAAGAGGAGCATAAATCATAAATGCCCTAAAAGTCAGTGGAGGACACTGTTTAATGAAATGTGTTCCCAATTTTCAAACAAATCCCTGCAGACATTCTGAAATCTGTAAAATAGCCTAGAGCCTGCAGCTCTAAGACAGGGAAGAGGCTAAAGACGAGTGTGTGATTCCTAATAGGTTTTTCAGGAGGCTGTATGAAGTATCCACTGAGGTATTTAACTTATGACTAACCATATTTTTTCTGCAGACCCTCTTTGAATACAAATTTGAATTTCTCCGTGTGGTGTGCAATCATGAACATTATATTCCATTGAATTTACCAATGCCATTTGGAAAAGGCAGGATTCAAAGATATCAAGGTAATTTATCTTTAAATATATTAATCATAGTCTTTTCAGAAAGAGAGCCATTCATTTTTAATAAGAAAAGAGAATTAGCTCACACGTGACATTCAAATTATCTGATACTTTTCATTGATGAATTGATTTTTTTTCTTGTTAAATTTCCATTAAAAAAAATTGATAAAATGCTATGTAGGAACTTACTTTTTTTTAGCAAATTTACCAGACTACAGATCATGCCAGTGTGACTCTTTTTCATTGAAAAGTTCCATTGCTTAAACAATAGTAATCCATTTTATTTACTGTAGTTTATTTTTATTTGTTTCACTTTTCTTTTTTCTTATGAATTAGCTTTTCTTTCACCAGCTGTGGAGTCAAATGACACTCCTGTAGGTAGGTGTGGGGTGTGACGCTTGCTTTCTTGCATCTTCCTCCTTTAAAAGAAAAAGAATGCAAGTGATTGCTGAAATGCTTACGTGTGCTATTCATGTAGGCATTTGCCATATACTTGGATCAGTTTTAAAACTGATGATAAACCAGTGAATTTGTTCTCGCTGTAGCTAAGACATTGCCATAACATCCCCAGGAGTCATCTGGTTTTTTGCTCCTGGGGTCAGTAGGTCCTCTAGGACGTTTCTTTAAGGAGTAAAGCAAATAAACAAAAAGCTCTGCTTCATTTCAAAAATGTATTATTCCACCATTTTCATAGTCCTTGTTTATAGCAGTAGCAGTAGCCTATGTCACAAGCAACATGGCTTTTCACATGCTTTTTATGTTTGCATGCTGAGTCTTCATTAACTGTTCTGTATCCTTTCTGAGTTTGAAGAGAATTAAGCTCATAGAGATTTCTGTGTCTTCACTGAGTAAGTCAAATTAGTCTCTTGGGTCTGTCAAGTAATATCTAGCACCTTGTATGTGCTCAGGATTATTTATGCTAAAGGAGAGAAAAAGTGGAAGGATGCCACCAAACTATTAATGACACCTAAATCAACTGACTCTGAAATTCAGAGAGAAACTCACAAAGGAATTCATTCAGAGACATAAGTACCTTGCCTTTTAAAGAGCAAGAAGGGGGACTGCGGCCTGAAGTCGGCGGTCATGCATTCAGCCAATATTTGCTCAGCACCAACTATACCTAGCCTTGGGATAGAGTCGTGGACAACAAGGATGAAATCCCTTGCTGTCTTAGCTGTGTGAAATGTGTAGAACGTGAGAGAGTGATAAGTGCTAAGGAGAGAGAAATAAAGCACGGGAAAGGGATAGGAAATGGGCTGGCAATGAGGTCGGGTGGCCAGGCAGAGCCTCACTGAGGAGGCAACTTCGGGGTGATAGTTGAAGAAGGTGAGGGGTTGAGCTCCTGGGCTGGTCAGCATCCCCCATCCAACCACAGCCTGCCCGCCTGTCCCACCCCGCACTGCTCCCCACGCGCCAGGCACACCTGCTGGTCCCAGCTCCTCACACATGGCAGGCCCTCCCCGCACTTCTCAGCCTCACACAGCACCTCCCTGGGCATCCTCGTCTTCCTCCTGGCCAGTCACTCGGCACCTCCCCTGTGGGCCCAGCCAGGTCTCCCCCTCGCCTCTCCCAGCGCCCCGCCTGGAGTGAATTGCTCCCTACCCTGCACCCCAGACCCTCCTTCACCCCACCTTCAGTTCCTAGCCCACCTGTCCCTGGAGACCGTGACCGTTTTCCCCTCACCTTTCAGGGTGCTGAGGATAGCTCTTTCTGCCCAGCGGTTGGGCAGTGAACGTGTGCTAATGTCCATCTTGCCCACTGGCCCGGGTGTCTGTCCTGTAGAACCAAGTGAGGAGTGAGGAGGAGACCCTTCAGGTACCCCACGGACTCACACAGGCTCTTAGTAGACTGTCGGGGTATTCGGCAGCGAGAAGGGCTGCCCTAGGCAGGCGGTGGGTCAGCTACAGATAACTTCCGTAACTGCACTGATAGGAGTAAAGTTCCGGGTTTTTTCAGCATCCTCCTTCCTCTTGCCCTTCTCACCTGCTCCTCCACTCTCCTCTGCACACGCACACGCACACGCACACACACGTGTGCAGTTAAACCCGTAAATAGTTTTCCTTCTACGGGGATCATGTGAATTCAGGCTGTGAGCTGTCTTTAGTTTACTGTCTTTTCAGTGAACTGGACTTAAAAATCATAAACAGTGGACATGAGTATTCTGGAAAGATGAACGCTCTTTCGCTTCCTTCTGCTAAAGAGTTCATAGGACTTGGGTCAGACTTTGAATAGGTTTAGAAGCAACTAACATGGCATTAAAGTTAAAGGAGAGGCCTATAGATTTTCCTCTAACAGTGGATTCAGTATAAGAATTTAAATCCGAGCCACAGCTTTCCGGATAGGTGTATTTCAGCTTTAGAGTGTGATGTTTAGCTGCTTTTATTTACCCTCCCTCAGTAGGTTTCACGTTTGCTTATTATCTCTTTTCCAGAAGAGCTTTCAGTCTTGTCACTTAGCTTGCTGATGACTTACTAGTTTGATTTGGTGCTTTGTCCATTTTAGTTCTAATTTATATCAGTTTTCTATTGGCTTTTTGAGGTAAAGAAGTTTTAAGAGTATATATTAGAAAATTCTAAATCAAATAAGATCTTCAGTGATAGCAAAATAATAGGTAATATGGTAACTCGTTCATTTTAAACATGTTGGGTTTTAATGGGCGTATATGGGCATTGATGACCAGGAAATCGCTAAATGAACTCATGTAGTGAAAAACATTTTAATAGACCATCTATATTTATTCTTTAATTATGTGTCTCTTATGCATAAATTACTCCCCTGTAATGTTGTCAGTTACTACAATTTTATTTTTAAATTTCATATCAATAACAAAATTACATTTGTAATGTAACATGCTGTTCTGTATTCTAAAAATTGGTACTAAAACTATTCACTAACTTAATCATTATGTAGGATGTAATACCTTTTAAAATCAAAATCCAGTGCATTTATTTGTATTTAAATTTTGTTTTCACTTTGGAGTGCAGAGCAGTATTTTAGGTTATCAGCCCTTTCCCCTTGGAAGCCAGATGTGACCCCCTGATGACACACACAGGGGAGGCTGAAAGCAAAGGATGGGCTTGGTTTTTATTTTATTCAAAGAGTGTTACATCCTTTCTAACTAAAGCGGTTTCTATCCTCATTTCAGATCTCCAGCTTGACTACGCATTAACAGATGAGTTCTGCAGAAACCACTTCTTGGTGGGACTGTTACTGAGGGAGGTGGGGACCGCCCTCCAGGAGTTCAGGGAGGTCCGTCTGATTGCCATCGGTGTGCTTAAGAACCTGCTGATAAAGCATTCTTTTGATGACAGATATGCTTCCAGGGTGAGTGTTCTCTAATGGAAGGAAATATGATAGATAAGTGTCCTTCATTTTGAGTAATATAAAGAAATAAGCAATTAGAAAATTAGTGGTAACAGCACTAAGACTTCCTCTGTTTATACAATAAAATCTAACAGCAATCTTTATAGGAAAGATCCAAATACAGGAGATGGCCAAGTGCTAGCTCAGTCTATCATTAAATTCTGAGTCCGGGATAAACTTAACACTTTGCGCCTTTGTTTCAGAGCCATCAAGCAAGGATAGCCACTCTCTACCTGCCTCTGTTCGGTCTGCTGATTGAGAATGTCCAGCGGATCAACGTGAGAGATGTGTCTCCCTTCCCCGTGAACCCTGGCAGTGTACGTAAGCACATTCACATAGACGCAGCCTGTATTTGCTTCCTGTGACTGCCCTAACAAAATACTACAAACTGGGTGGCCAAAAACAACAGAAACTTATTCTCTCACAGTCAGAAAGCCAGAAGTCCAAAATCAAGATGTCAGCTGGGTTGGTTCCTTCTTGAGGTTCTGGGTGAAGAGCTGGTTCTATGCCTTTCTGCTAGCTTCTGGTGGTTGCCCGAAATCCTTGCTTTTTCTAGCTTATAACTGTATCACTCCAATCTCTGCCTCTGTCTTCACATGGTGTTATCCCTGGTGTGTGTCTGTGTCTCTGGTGTCCTGTCCTGTCCTTATAAGGACACCAGTGCTTGGATTTAGGGCCCACCCTAATCCAGGATGACATCATCTTATCTTACATCTTAATTACATCTGCAAAGACCCTCTTTCCAAATAAGGTCACATTCTGAGGTTCAGGGTGGATATGCAGTTGGAGGGACACTATTCAACTATACACGTCTCCTCTTTTTTTGCCCCTAAAACCATAATAATCTACAGTAGTCTTGGTAAGTTGCATTTCTGGCTAAGACGGAGTCAATCAGTAAACCTTCAACTCTTGTTAAAAATCATCATAGGGCTTCCCTGGTGGCGCAGTGGTTGGGAGTCCACCTGCCGATGCAGGGGACATGGCTTCGTGCCCCGGTCCGGGAAGATCCCACATGCCGCGGAGCGGCGGGGCCCGTGAGCCATGGCCACTGAGCCTGTGCGTCTGGAACCTGTGCTCCGCAGCGGGTGAGGCCACAACAATGAGAGGCCCGCGAACTGAAAAGAAAAAAAAAAAACATTATAAAAAGCCGTGCTTTCCTGATGGCTTGTTTTTCTCGTAAGATTTCAGGATCTTCTTTGTGTATCCAACAAAAAGTTATAGAGGAAGGAGTTTATTTCGTTTTTTAAAAAAAAGCATAGTTCTAACCTCGGTGCTATAAGAGCTCAGTGCTAGCCCCGGTTCTGATGTAACATACACAGTCTTGGAAAAGCCACCTCTTTGGGCTGAAGTTTCTCTGTGTCTGTAAAGTTAGAAAGATAATCAGACTAGATGTCAGGGGGCCAGGGTGAATGACCCCACCTCCCCAAACTGACCACCTTAATTTACTTTAGCTTTATGCAGTCATTTAAAGATATACTGGAAATTAAGTTGACTGAAGGATGACGCCAGAAATGATCTCAAAGCGTTTTGGTTGGAGACAATCCGGCATTAATTTGGATAGGTGTTAGCAGTTCAGCAGTGCCCTTTTCCTGTTTATTCTGGACCTGTGAACCGGCTCCATTGTTCATCTTGCCACTTTGTCATCACGGCATACAGCGGGGGAGCTCCCTTGTGTGTATTTCTGTCCCTTTTCCCCCAACAGTGGTGCTTTGTCCTCTTTTCTGTACATCTCCTACGTGATGGTGCATTGAGATGAACCGTGTTTATAGAATAATTTTTGTAGTTCCAAAGAGCGTGAATGTTCACTGTCCTTACATGGAACGCACCACACTAATCTCACCCTCTACAACATTGTATTTCACATGTGTATTCTCTAAATTTGTCTGCTTTTCTAATCAGAATAAGTAATTCAGGGCGTAATGCTACCTATCTGTACTGCTTCAAATGAACACCAGCTTTTGCTTTGGCTTTCATGAAAGTAAAATCCCTTTTATGACATAACTTCATAGTGAACATAATTTCTCCACTGAGAATTCACACGGAGCACCCACCTTGCAGAGATTTTCACTGCTGCTACTGTGAGGTCACTATTGCTCATTTGGGAAGATTTCTGATGTGAGAGAAAAAAACCAATGGTCCAGTTAGAAAGAGCACGTGAGGCTTCTTCTGAAGGAAGAAACATACTGAAATAATCTACAGAAATGTTGGGCATCAGAGCTCTGGAAAGGGAAGGGTGCTAGATCTCCTGGGGAAATACAGGACTTCACGGGCCAAGGTTTCTCCGCCCACCCCAGACCTGACGTGCCCCGTGCTCCCTCCTCCTGCTGCTTCTCTGACCCACACACCCCACCTCCACCCCCCGCTGTCCTCCTCCCACTCAGGCACGTTTAACATGCCAGGCTGTTCTGTCCTGTTCTTATGCTCGCCCTCACACTTCCAAGAACTGTTGGTGAATCCTTTAAAGTCATCTTCAATTGTTTCTTGTCTCTCTCCTCCTTGACAGACTGTGAAGGAGGAATCCCTTACTTTGCCAGCCGTGAACCCGATAGTGACACCGCAGAAGTCTGGGAGCACGCTGGATGCCAGTCTGCACAAGGACCTCTTTGGTGCCATCTCTGGCATTGGTAATGCTCGGGCTCTGACCTGCTTCTCTGCAGTCTAATTCGGAAAGCGTCTTTAATCCAGTCATTTGTTAGCTTTCAAATCAGAACTTTGAAGTCTTGAGTTTCTACTTCAAGTATTCTTTTCCTGATTTTGCTCCTCAGCTATGAAACCCCTTAACTCTACACTGAAATAAAGATCTCAAATTTCAGGAATAACACATGTAGTACAGTTAACCACATATTTGTCCTGTTTGCTTTTTGTTTAATGCGTGTTAATTTTTCATTTTAAATCTTCAAACTAGATTGTTTATGCTTTTAGGAAAAGAATATCTTTGCAAGTGTGTTTGTGGTGGGTAGGATTTATTTGTAGTGTTAACGATTTAGATGAGATGTGACAGACTAATTGCTGATGGAGATACTGGTTTGTGGCTAGAATGAAGTCCTGAAATCACTTTTCTAAAATCTTCTTTCCTGCAATATTTTTTCTATCTGAAATAATGTTAGAGCAGCCCCCATGGGGAGGAAAACAGATGGCATAAATCAAGATTCAAATTGCATAGTTTTTCCATAAGAAAATGTCTGAGAAATGTATTTATTAATACTCTGATTGAGCACATGTGCCAGCTCCTTCATAAAGATAATGGTAAAAAAAAAAAATATATATATATATATATATATCTTCACAGACACTCACAGACTTATGCTGTCTTCATTTCTTCCTCTCTTTTACACCACAGTTTGAATAAATGAAGCATCCTGCTGCGGCTAATGCTTAGACCACCCAATAATGGAACTAACTCATAGGGCAGAATAAAGGGCAGTCCTTTTACCTAATTAATCTGCAGGACTGTGGTTCATTCTGAGTTTATGTCCTTAGCTTTTGTAGTGTTCTAGTTGCTAACGTGGTTATTTCATGTAGGTGATGAAACTGGCCAGACTGTAAAATTGGAAACTGCATACCAGTGCTCAGATTTATCCCATAATGCCCATACCAGTCTTTAATCTTACTTCTGTTTCTGTGTATTTTTCATAGTTATACTTACCTCATTTGGCGTTGTAAAGATGAAATGGGTTAATTCATACAAAACGCAGAGCCTGGCACGTGGTATTTCCATTGCCTTTCTCATGGGGCCCTCGCTCTGTCTCCTTTGCCTCACTCTGTCCACAAGCCCAGCCGCTCTCTGGGAGTGGGGAAGGGGTCCTTTCAGGGGCTTTGTCTGCAGCGGTTCCCAGCACTGTTTTTAAAGTCAGACAGATGTGGCTTTGGATCCAGACTCCACCATTTACAATTGCCATGGGCAGGGTGTCTCTCCTCTTTACCCTGTGTCCACATCTCAAAAATAGAGTCGTGGTGAGGGATGAAGAGCTAGTTGAATGTGTGCAGTGCTTGGCAAGGTAAACAGTGTTATTATTTGACCGCCATTATAACAAGCACAGTTCTTCAGTGTTATTCATGCTTTGTGATAGACTCTTAGTAGCCTAAATCTTAACTCTCTGTTCTCTCTGACCAGTATTCTGTAGGATTCAAGACTGTGGAAATGATGAAACTAGAATGAGGTGATGTTTTGACTCTGACTTGATTCTCCAATTCCACATTCACCTTGTTAGGGTTTGGGATGCATTGAGAACATAGAGATGAGCCAAGGGGGGGTCTTTAGCACAACTTCAGTGACATAAATGGCCTTCGATTGCTCTGTGTTCATGGTGAAGTTACAAAAAGTTCTCAAGGCTAATTTTGTCCCATTTCATTCTTCCTTGAATTTCAATACCTGGATCCACTTTTCATGGGAATTCACCACAATAGACTTAGTATATATTCAGGCTTTTATCTATGTTGCCCCCATCTTTAAACGCTTTAATCCTTGTTTCCTTTTAGAAATGCCTTCCGGGAAAGCAGCCCCCACCTTTGAACTGGGTTTACTAGTTGTTTTCTGGTAGCTTTAGCAATTCTTCTTTTATTCATCAAGGAATTTCTAGTTAGTTTTAGTCCCAGTGCTTATCCTTCAAGAGCTGACTTTCTCCTTACGTCTCTTAAGGAAATTCTGTTTCCACACTTACTGAGAATGTACCCTCAGCAGTGTTTTTAATGTCTTTGGAACATGGTGCATGAAAATTTCTGAAACTGATTCATTGCCTGGATAAAAACTACTCTAAGATTACATTCATTTTAGGGGCTTCCCTGGTGGCACAGTGGTTGGGAGTCCGCCTGCCAATGCAGGGGACACGGGTTCGAGCCCTGGTCCAGGAAGATCCCACATGCTGCGGAGCAACTAAGCCCGTGCGCCACAACTACTGAGCCTGCGCTCTAGAGCCCATGAGCCACAACTGCTGAGCCCGTGTGCTGCAGCTACTAAGGCCCGCATGCCTGGAGCCCACGCTCCGCAGCAGGAGAGGCCACTGCAATGAGAGGCCTGCGCACCGTGGCAAGGAGCGGCCCCCGCTTGCCTCAGCTGGAGGGGGCCCGTGCACAGCAGCAAAAACCCAACACAGCCAAAAATAAATAAATAAAATTTTTTAAAAAAGATTACATTCTCAAGGCGCACATTCTTAGGCTCAGGGTTCCTTTACCTACCTACTCAGTGTATTTCATTTTGCTGTCTATACAAAGGGGAGAGAGTTGAACTAAATTTCTTTTAAAAGTTATGCACTGGGCCAGGATATTAAATACACACACACACACACACACACACACACACACCAGGAACATAGTTCTACTAAGCATGTTGATTTATTTATTTATTTATTTTTTGCGGTACGCGGGCCTCTCACTGTCGTGGCCTCTCCTGTTGCGGAGCACAGGCTCCGGATGTGCAGACTCAGCGGCCGTGGCTCACGGGCCTAGCCGCTCCGCGGCATGTGGGGTCTTCCCATACCGGGGCACGAACCCATGTCCCCTGCATCGGCAGGCGGACTCCCAACCACTGCACCATCAGGGAAGCCCCAGCATGTTGATTTTGATTTATTGCATTTACATCTGTTTGCCTTAGATTAGGACTCTTGTTCTGGAACTGAGCCTAAAACTTTGAGAATTTAATGTCTAATTTTACTTTACTGAGAGCCTTTTTCTCCTGAGTTCTGTGTTCTACACTAAGTATGAAGTCTGGTTATATTAGGAAGACGATAGTTATAATTTGGTCACAGTGCATGTTTCTTTTCTCTCTGAGTATAGAAAAAGGCCCCTGGCTTTTTCATAGGGTTTTTACCTGCACCCTGTGGCAGTCAATCACACAGTTCCTATTCTGGGTAGGCACAGCCCCTGGCCGGTGGTTTACGTGTTCCTGCCTGCACTTACATTTTCAGATTCCCTTGCCCTTCTTTGCTTGATATACTTAATACACTGAATTGGTTTCAGAGATGGTGGTGGATAAACCTGAGTGTTAGGGGCGGGGAGAGGATTAACTTCGAGGTGTATCAGTCCATGGCAGCTAATTTGCAGGCTGAAACCTAAAAAGGGCCTGCCTGTTCTGAGGTGCCAAGGAAAGGCATCTCAGGTGAAGGCAGCTTGGGGGTGGGAGGCTGTGCTTACAGCTTGCTGCAGCGTGGCACCGAAAGTCTTCCGCAGTGTGCAGGGCCAGCCCAGCCTCGCAGCCGGAGGCATGCCTTTTGGTTCAAGCCAGAATGTGCAAGTCTAAGAATCATTTTTAATTATGTGATTTATTTAAGTCTTATCTAAGCAAGAAGTCGATCTATTACTTTTAAAAATTCCACAGTATTGGGCTTCCCTGGTGGCGCAGTGGTTGAGAGTCCGCCTGCCGATGC